GATTCTTCAATTTGTCAAAAGTTCATTGATTTACTCACAAAACCAACTTCAAGTAGCAGTACAACTACAACTTCAGAGCCCATTGAAATAATGAATTCCAAAGAAACTGAACCTGATACGAAAAATATTGAAAATAAGACAAAAAGTTCTGTCAAGGAAACAGAAGATGATAAAACCAAAGAAATTGATGATATTGTCCCACACAACGAAACTATTATGAAAGATGCAGGAAATGATTCTGGAAAAAATGATTCATCTTTTGCTTTTAAGGTCTCGACCAGTCTTTACATACCAGTCATTTTTGTTTTGTTATCAACGCTCATTTTCTAAGCGTCAAAGAATTGGATTGTTGGCATTCATATAAAATTTCGATTAAAATACATCAAAACATAATTTATCCTTTTCTAAAAATAATATAAAACTTTGGGCAGATAAAATCTATGTTATCTTTCTAGATGATTTTTTTTTTCGTTTAAGATTCTTAAATTATAGTTTTCGTGTGTGTGTAAATTGTCTTTAGTAATCACTCCAAGGTTATTTGAGCCTACCGACTACTCAAGTACATTACAGCAAAGATTGTGATCTTAAATTAAGCTAGAATGCGACGTTTAAGTTTAAAGAAGAACAAACATTTTGGTGTCAGCTGTGATTTACTTTATTTTTTTTTTTTTTAATTATTTGTGTGCATGTCTAACACACAAGGGAGGGCGGTATAGTTATTTTGACATTAATATCTCAGAAATCCAAAAAATAAAAAACAAACAGGAAGAATCGGTCAAACGTAAACTCTCTTTGTCAAGTAAAGCTTTCCATATATATGAAAACTCTGAGAATATCTTTTAATTTAAAAAGAATTTATAAGAAATGAAAAACAATGTTTGAAAAATCAGGTTTCAATTTAATATTTAGCTTAATTTTATTGTATTCAACGTTCCAAATATGCTATTCAGAAGAAATAGGTAGAAATTATGAGGAAGGTTCAAATTTAATTTCTTGCTTTGATCCTCCTTTTGATGGTTTGGAAATCCCTGGAAGGGGAATCCTAATGGTCCATAAAGGTCATAGGCTCATTCCGCTAATAATCCCATCGGATTCAGAGTTCTGTGACAGCCCAAGAAATTTATTCGAAATAGAAAATGATATATGGGACAACAATATTTTAATTCCCAAAGACTATGAAGAATTCTCCCAACTTGTTAATGAAGCAAAAGATGTTGCAGAAAAAGATGAACAAATTATTTCTGCGCTTAATGACCTTTTAATAACGAGCGATGGCGCCAAAGCCAGCCAGAAAACTGACAATATTGGCATGCATGTGGTTAATGAGCCAACCATTATACCGGAGTATGTATTTCCTTTGCATGGGAATAGTCATCCACATGCGCACACAGAATTAATAAATAAAAATGATGAAGAAATATCAGATTTTGAGGATTCATCACTATTAGATGATTTGGATATATCTAAAAATAATGATGGTATTAAGATGAGAATGTTCATGTTCAAGGAATTCAGCATGGATTACTTGGCAAGAAAAGGACTCCCATTAAATATTAATGAAGAGGCAATGTATAGTCCAGAAAACTTTGATTTTTTCAATTCCAACTGGCCATCAAGGGAAAAGGAATTAAATATTGAAGTACTTCCAAACTCAATTTGGAGGGTTTTCTTGGCTAGTGGTATTCTCACATCAATTACAACTACAAATATGAGTGAGGAAATGAGAAAAATGTTAGTCTTAGAGTCTTTAAATGCTTTCTTTAATGGTTTAGAAAGATACTATTTGCAGAATATGGATTCTGAGTTGGACTCTAAATATTACTCTTATTTGAATGGGCTTGGAGTTGAAAATGCTTTGGATACGATGAAATATTATAGAGAATCTATAAATTTCCAACGAGATTCAAAAGGAGATAATTCTATTATGAGTAAGAATAACGATAAAGAATATACTAAGTCGCAAGAATTTACTTCAAATGATTTATCAAATTCTTCGATAAATTCCTCATCATTAGAAGTTCCTGATACTTTTGAAGAATCTAGTATTTCAAGATCAGTATCTAAGACAAATAAAAAACAGTATGAGAATAGTGTGGTAGCTATTGATAATAGCCAAAGTGGAGAAATTTTATCGAAAAGTATTAAAGGCGAGAAAAGTCAAGCAATAGAAATAGATCCAAATTCTCAGCTTGAAACGTTTGTTAAATTAAGAATCAAATGGTTTAATATATTTGTAAATGATTATTTGGCGAGACTTGGGATTAAATTTTCAATATTAGAAGAATATTGTAATAACCCTTCAGTCATTGAGTTTTTCAAAACTGAAATTTCTATTTCAGAAGGTTTACCAGAAGTTATTTTGGATATATTTATGGGAAGCGGATTTGGAAGCCAGTTCTCAGATTCTACAACTGAAGATGAAAAAATTCATATAGTTTATGATATTTGGACGATATTTAATCAAATAGAAAGAGAAATCTTCAATGGGCAAACCATTGCTAATGGTTACTTGTTGAAAAAGGATTTATTTGATGTGGAAATAAGAGAAGCCATGAGACAACATTGGGACGGCAATCTTAACGATACAGCAAACAAGTTAATTCATTTATCAAAAAAGAGAACAATTAGTCCAGAAAAAAGTGAAATTGAACCTATTTTTGAAGATGAGCTCATTAGAAATCGTGAAAGAGCAAAGGAAATGGGAATATTCAAGGGAGAAAAAAGTCAAAGTAATGGGGAACTCAGTAAGAGTAGCAAAGAAATTTCGGAAATGTATAATATTGGAAGCGAAACTGAAGACTCAAAAGCAGGAGATTCTTCTAAAAAATCAGAATTGGATGAGAAATCAATTATAGGTAAAAAGAAGGGGAAAAATAAGAAAAGAAAGAGTAAAAAGAAAAAAAATAATAAAGGAAAAGAAAAACGATCCGGAATTTTAAACAAAGCAAAAGAATTATTGGAATCGTTTAAAAAGGAACCTGAAGTTCATGCTAGCGAAGAATCCAAAGCCAAATCTTCGGAAAATGATATTTCTTCATCAGAATCTACTTTGGATGATGTTGAGAAAAGCAGTGATTCTCCATTTAACTTGCTTAACTTTGGATCTCCTATTAAAGATGAGCAAGAAAATAGCGAATTTTCTGAAAGATTTGGAATAGATACTCTATTTGAAAAGTCTTTTGAGGATTTAAATGAGCCTAAGAAGCTTGGAGGAGAGCCTTCTCTTCCTTCTCCTGAACAAAGTAAGTTAGAAGAAAAGTTAAATAATTTAGAGAAGAATAATGAAGTTGAACCAGAAAAAAGTGAAACTTCAACAAGTTTAAAGGAAGAAGTTAAGGAAAAAGAAAAAATGGATTTATCTGAACAAACTCCAAAAAAAGAACCAAGCGCAGATGTTTCTCCGGAAACTACAGTGATGGTAAATTTATTTGAAGATATTCCACTTGCAGATGAATCGTTCAATAGTGAGGATTCTTTTAAGCTAAAAGAGAATGAAGATATTATTAATAAAAATGATCAAATTTCTCAAGATATTAGTGAGAAAAGTGTTAAAAAAATTGATAATGGATTAGGATCTCAATATGAGACAACATCTCTTCCAGAAAATGAAGATTTAGAAAATTATTCTGTACCGAGTTATCGAGAAGAGAATAAATTCCATTATGAACCAACAGGAGAGACTTCAAAAACTGAACCTTCTAATTCAAGTAAATATTTGCCAAAAGAAGATGATGATCCTTCAGAAGAGGAAACTAAAGAGCACTCAGAAGAGGGTGATACACGTTTCTCAGATAAAGAAAAGCCAATCAAAAAGAAATTTTCAAAGATATTTGAAAATAAGTTATCAACATTATTTGCGAACACAAAAAAGTTCTTTGGATTTGATAAAAAATCATCCAAAGAAGATTTAGCTTCAAGTGATCAAATAAAAGGAAATCAAGATCAATACTTAAATGTTGAAGAAGAATACAAAAATCTGTCAAAGATAATTGTTTATTTCATTCAAAGTTATGCAGCTTTAAGATACAAATTTGCTGATAAGGCAGTAATTGAGAACTCTTTTGATGAAATCAATGAAATAGTTAAATCTTCTATACATTTTCATCAAGGAACAACCGAATTTGATAATATAGATATGGAGAAAGCTATTAAAAAAATAGCTGCAATGTTGGGAGGAGGTAGTTTCACAGCTTTAAAATCTATTGGTTTGACTACTAAAGATATTACTACAAACTTGAAGCGCTATCTAATTAAATTGTTTCCCACTGAAATAACTCAAGAACATTATAAAAAAGATAAAAAGTTAAATACTACCAATTTTTGGTTAAAACAGCACTTCACTCAGGATGTTATTAAAGATGGAATGATTCCAGAACAATTGGAGAGACCTTTCATTATTGAAACTAGTCAAGATTTAATTGCCAAATCAAATGATCCAGGATCTATTGAAACTAAGGCTGAAAATCTCTGCAAAAGGATCCCCTCAATATTGGAAAAGTTCTTCGATAAATCTATGACTAAGAAAATTAATCATAAAGATTTTGACTGCTTAGCAGTAGTTGCAGCAAATGAACTTTATGGACTTTCCCTCAGTAATTCACTCTATCTTTTCTTGTTTGATTATAAAACAAATTATTGGAGATTCTTAACACCAGATCTCTCTATCTCTATATCTCAAATCTTGGAGAATGAGTAATATAATACTATTATTTATTGCTTATCTGGAGGGGTTGTGGTGCGTTCTGGCGAAGGGACTAACTTACATTATCTATTATCCTAAAATCTTTTCAGAAATTATGGTACCATTCAAATTGTCTAATTAAAAGATAAAATTTACTATCATCTCTACTTACTGTTAAAAAAAACTATATTAATACTCGAGAATAATATCATCCTAAAATCTAAAATTTCAAAATTAACCATCACAAAATCTTCTCAACAAAAACAATTAAATTTCTATCTTATCTCATCTCTGACCTTATTCAACACGACAATTATTAGGCAGGGTGCCCGAGTTGGTCTAAGGGGTAGGTTTTAGGCACCTATAGGTAACTGCGCGGGTTCGAATCCCGTCCCTGTCAGATTTCCTTTTATGATAAATGTATATTTTATGGTAATTCTTATTATAAACTATTATAATTAATGGGCCTTATTATCAAGCCCAAGCTTACAAATTTAAATATATTTTAACGATAACTAATGTATTTTTGAATTATGTTAATCATTTATAAAGTTTTATTCGACTCTCTTTTCTATTACTTATTTCTATTCATGCATTTATATAAAAAGTAATTTTGTATTAAACTACAGCCACCCTCTTTACTATCTTATGTTTAATAACTATTGTTCCAATTCCAATGTACGCATGCACATGCAAACTTTTTACCTCCCAGTTTTTTTACCTTTTTTATTTTACTTTGTTAACTCCAATGCCCCGCCCAAAATATTCAAAATCGCAAAGCCATCCATTGGCCATGCAGAAACCGCCACATATTGGCGGGAAACACGGTACCAAATCAATTAATATCAAAAATTGTCAAGTGAAAGGAAAGTTTTCAAATAAAGAGAGAAAAAGAAAGTAAGAATGAATATCATGGTTAAAACCAAATTTTAAAAGCAATTTATTATATTAGTTTCTATTATTTCACTTATTAAATTAAAGGCACAATTTTACACTTAATGGCTAAATTCACTATTATTTTGACAATACACTTTTAATATGTCACTGAGACTTATTGGCGGTAAAAATATACGTCATGATAATTAAAATCAATGGATATTTACATTCATAACAAGTCTATTGATAGTGGTAAAAGGATATAAAGGAGAGTATCTAGAGGTATCTAAATGGATTTGACTATAATTGAGAGGCTTGCAAGTAAATTCGCTGATTTTTGTATTTCAAATTCATGCATTTATTAGATTTGTTAATTTTTTTTTTTGAAATATAAGCAAACAGGTTTATTCATTTTTTTAGAATTACATCCAACTTTATAGAAAACAGAAATGTTATCAAAACGTAAGTTGGCAGTAATCTTGCCAATGCTTTTTGAGCTGGCAATGAGTTACGACTATTATTTTCCAATGGAGACTGTTCCATTGGAACATATTGCAACTAATCGTTGGGGAAAGGAAGGTCCAGCAGATAGCGAGAAAGTTGTTAAGATTGGTGCAATTGGAGGAGGTTATTATGGAAGAACTATTCCGGGATTGAGAGATTATGAAAAGGGAGATGCTAAGGATAGAGCTTTTGGTTCTAAGTATAAAGAATATCCATATGCTTACGAACCAGAACGTACTTTAACTAAGGATTCTTTAGCTCCACTTCCTCCTGAAGCTCGCATAAGAATGATGAGAGAATCTTTCAGAGAACATGTATTTAATGTTACAGGACAAGTACCAACTCTAGGTGAGGTGAAAAAGATGAAGAAACACTTTATGGATTACGTCAAGAAAGAACTCAATGCTACTGATACAGAAATGAAGTCTCTATTTGGCGTTGAAACCACTAAAAAAGCTGATGGAGTCTTACCAAAGTACTTATTATTTGATGATATGGACAAATTTGACTTTGATCCTGAAGAAGCTCTCAAACACATGCCACGTGTTCCAATTAATGCTTCTAAAGAAGAAATTGATGCTGCCTATCTCAAAGCTTGGGAAATGCTTGGAAAAAGTAATGACAAACTTAGAAAGGTATATAATGAGTATCGTCGTAAATATCTTGAAAAGAATCCACTTGGTCCAGTTATGACTGAAAAGGAATTCCTCTTATACTCTATTAAACTTAGAGAAAGAGAAGCTTACAAGCTTGGTTTTGTCTCAGGAGAAGCTAGCAGTGACCCAATTTCCAAAAGTATTGAGATTTCTTATTTCCTCAGAGATGCTCTTAAGGATGAATATGAGAAATATAAGTCTGGTACTCCAATTGACAGATTTGCAAATGCTACAAACTTTGTCAATGATGGATTATTCAACGATAATCTGATTCTTGATAACTTTGATCCTTTCGATAATTCTTTACCATCTCCTTATGATCCAATTGAAGGTAGAGCTTGGACTGATACTATTTCGAAGTCTTCTATTATTAACATGACTAATGCATATGAAAAGATTGTTAAAGGAGAAGATGTATATGACAATCATGGTAGGTTAATCTATAAAGGCGATAGATATAACACCAGATCTGATGGTAGTGATATTGGAGAACAGTTTGATGAATTAATTACTGGAAGTGATCATGGTAATAGATATAATTCTATTGGAACTGGAAGCTTAAATATTGACGAAAAAGAGTCAGAAAATAACCAAGATTCATCATCAACTACTTTCCATAAGTTAACCAGAGTTAACAAATATAACAACATTAAGTCTCCCTCTCAGTTACTTTTCGAGAGATCAGAATACTCCACTTCTTCCCAAAAGAGAGTAATTGACAGAATCGATGATTATACATTGGTAGATATTAATAATATGACTGTTGGACAAATGCTATCATTACATACACTTATATTTGAAAACCTATATACAGATGCTGATGTAAAAGAAGAAGAAAAGTACTTCAAACAACGTCTTGGAGAACAAGGAGGAGATGTTGGAACAAATACTGAAGTTTATAGGGAATTTTTATTCAACAAATTTGGAAATTCTCTTTTCTTTATTCCCAAAACTATCTACTTAAAAGAGAAAAATAATGAAAAAATACTCCCAGTTTCTGCAACAGGATTTAAATTAGTTGAAAACTTTGATGGTGTTGCTAAAATTCATCATTTAGCTACTGATTTATCATTCAATATCGATTATTCTGATAAAGACAGTTTCTACCTAAATGGATACCTTGGAAAGTTAAGTTATCCACACAAAAATCTATTAGAAAACTTCTTAACAACAGGATGGAAACTTAGTGACTCTCAAGCTCCATCTCCATATAGATTCATCTCTGCAATTGATGACAAGGTTTCAAACTTTGATAAATTCGAAGGCACTCTTGCTCAATATAGAGACCATATTGAAACTTCGGATGATTTGGAGAAAAAGGAGGTGGCGGGAAAAATCACGGCTCACTTGGCGCGCAGTGCACAATTATTGAAAAGGTATGAAGAAAAAAGAAATGAATATATTAGATCCCAGAAGAAGTTATTGGATGAATTGAATAAGTCTAAGTCAGTTCTTAGAACAAAAGCACTTTTGGAGAATGTGAATATAGTTTCAAGTGCTTTAAAAGGATCAGATACAGGAATTGACATTTCAAAGTATGTAAGTGAGCCAGATAATAAGAAGTTTGGTTCTTTCTTTGAGAATAGAGATGAATTGAAAAATGTGGTTGAGAATGAGCATGAAAATAATGTTCAAGAGTTGCAAAGGATTGGAAAGGAATGCCATGATAACTTTAGAGAATTAGAGGATGCTTGTGATGATTTGATAAGAGATTCAAGCTTGATTAACGTTGAGATTAGCTCTTTGGAAGATGAGGTTACCTCCAAGGTTTTAGAGTCTTTAGATAAGAGACAGAGAATAGGAGTTCAGATATTGGATGAATTGGACAAGTTAGAGAAATTGAATGATTATCTTTTACAAAATGCACATGCAGTTGGTAATGTTGATATTACCCGAATTGAACTCGATGACTTTGAAAAGAATCCAGAGATATCTAAGACTTTGGATAGTGAGACATTTGGTATTTTTAGTGGAGATAGGAAAGCTTCCGACTTTAAGAAGTTGATTGATACCAACCATGCTTCAACAAGGTATTATATAGAGGAGCCAAAGAATGGCGATTTTGTGGATTCTGATGAGGGAGATGATGAAGAAGAAATTAAGGGTGGTAAGAAGAAGAGCGACAAGGACTCAGATAAGTCAAAGAAGGCTTCCAAGTATTCTACAGACTTTAAGGGCAAAGTAAAGTTAGTATTTGAGGAAGCTTTGACAATTATTGAGGACTATGTTAGAGATTTATACATTGCAGTAGCTGATAGAAAGGAGAGAATGTTAGAGTTGTTAAAGTTGGAGTCCTTTTTGATTAGAGAAATCTCAAGACACCGCAAATCCTTATCTGTTGTACTAAATAGAGTAGCATTGCCAGAGGATGAGATTATTGATGAAAATGAGAATGATGAGCTTAAGATGAGAATTTTACTCAAGATTCACGAGGAAAAGACAAAGTTGATGTATGTTAGAGAGGTACTTGATAAGTTGTATTTCTATCCACACTTCCGTGGAGTTAAACCAAGTTCTTCTTTGAAACTTAAAGAGTTAGAGGAAAGAGGTATCTTGTCAAGATTTGGATATACTTACTTACCAAAGTTTAAACTAGGTGAAGATGAGCAACCAATCGGAATTTATGGTTTTAAAAAGCTGGATTATTATGATATGAAGCTTGATTTCTATAATAGATTAATTTCAGGTTTTGAGTATGACTTGGGCAGTTACAGATTTGATTTAGAGATGATGAGTTTATTAGATAGCTTGAGGTATCCAGAACTAAGCAAATTAATTTACTCTGATGAATACATAGAGTCAAGTATTTTCACAAAAAGAACAAAGTTGATGAAATTATTGAAGAAGTTAATATTTAGAGAGAAAAATAAGGATTTGAGAAGATCTTTAAAGAAGGCTTACTTTGAAATTAAAGAATGGTTTGACAGTGCAGTAAAGTTTGAAAGGGAATATTATGGTAGTTCAGCTTTGGAAACAATTTTTTCTGAATCAAAATCTTCAGAGGATGAAAGCAGCAGAAATGAAAGCGAAATAGTCCTCTCGGATAAGAAAGGTTCGAGTCCAAGCCCATCAAATAAACAACAAAGAAGAATGAGAAGAAAAAACTAGGTAAATCAAGTCAATAGCTTCCATATATGACTCAGACTCTTTGATTATTTGCTTGTTTTGAGAGTTTGTATTTATTATTACTAAAATTAATTAAGATTAGACATTTACACTTGCATGTATTATGAATTTGAGCGATTCAAGGCCTAAAGAGCAACACCTATTTAAACAGTGGTCATCAAAATAGATGTGATTAAGGATCTGGACCTTCTTAGAAACTTCTTGATGACGTTTAAATTTAAATAAAAAAGTATTTGAT